CTGTAACCAACTACATGTAAGATTACTTAGGATCATCCCGTCCCGCCCCAAGGCCTTCTGGAAGGAGGAAAGAAGCCCCTTCCCCGTGTTCGCCCCTCCACTCTCCTCAGCTTTGGGTGTTTTTGCTCTTTTGCTTCTTTATTTCTCTTCTCTTTTCCCTTTTCATCTTTTCATTGTTGATTTCACCGCTACACGCTATCACATTACACACACCATGTCGAACTGACGTCCTTTTCCGCTTCTCCCTTTCTGTTCTTTCACCAATTGAACCCCCTTCGTCCTCGACTCACGTGTCGCTTTCATCCCATCACTCTTCCGAATCTGACTCCGGGTTGGAAAAAGTGGGTTGCGCGCTCGATCTGTCTAGTGCGACAAGACTAGGACAGGTCTAGGCTTTGGGGCTTGTCTCGGAACCTCCAGTCCACAACGCGACTCGGACTGCCTCGCTGCAGGAAACAACTCCATTGTTCGATTCGGTGATCTGAGAGCTTGCTCGCCGACTCCTGTCATTCCTTTTCCCGACTTTCTTTGTGCCGATTCAGTCGGATCTCTCCCGATCTCCCATAACCCCCAACCTCGCCGCTCTTTTTTTTTTTCTCACCTCTCAAAACCGCCCTCGTCACTCGTACCTTCCATCATCCCCCAGCCGAACGCCTCGGTCTTCGTCATCCGAGCCATATGCGAGTCAGGAGCGCTCCGACCGAATCCTTTCCTACTCTGCGCTCCGATTGAGTCCCTGTCGGTCTTGTGATCCCAGCCTGATCGGGGGGTCGTTCTCAACCTTCTAACACCATGGTGGACCGCGTGGATTGCGCGGGCCTCTACATTGACGACCGAGTGCGGTCGGAGAGATGGGTGCGCAGAAATTCCATCGACGCATCGACGATATCGTCCGCAGGTTCCTTCACAACCCCCGAGGAACCGGAGGCCTTACAGGCGGATGTAGAGCAGCTGTTGTTAGTGTGCAAACAAGGTAGGTTCTGCAGTCTGCGCTGCGTTTGATAATTTGCTAATTACTCCCGGTTTCGCAGTCTATCTCTGCCACAACGGTTCCTCCTTCGCCGCCAAGCTGGCCGAGCTCAGCGACCGGGCGGGCAGTGAGTGTAACCCGATTTTCGCATTCTTCGAGGTGGACTTTAGCGGCGAAGAGTCGAACCTGGCTCGTCGAAAAGCCAGTCGCGCTTCGTGGGCAGACAACGCTCCTCCGTCACCGGGCTCCATTCACCGCACTTTCACATTTTCAACGCAGTCTGACGAAGCACGGGGCCTGTCCCTTCTATCAGGTGTCTCGAACGACATTCAAGCCCAAGAGGGGCCAAATTTGGTCATTCCCATTGCTATTTTGCGCCTTCCTACCCCCGATACACCCAGCGAAAATGTGGCTACCGGCCCTACCAGTCAACCAGATTCTCAAGGACCTCTCACGTTGGAGCACAAGCAGATTGCCCGCTGTCTTGATGCCGGTGCTATGGATGTCTTGACTACTCCGCTAGATCGATCGCGCATTCAAGGCCTCGTGGTCCATGCCTACCGTACTCGCAAAGCAGCCCAGAGAGAGATGTCCCGGTTCCTCGCACGGAGAAAGCAACGGAAGCTTTCTTGGGTCGGTGTGCATGATGAGCAGCCATATTCTTATCTTAGAGAAGCCATGGTTTCAAAGCTCATGAAAGGAATTTGCAACCCAGAAGAAGTCATACATGATGAATTCCAGGAGCAGGACCTCAACATCGATCCCGCGCGTATCCCTTTTATTAAAGAGCGGGTGGGCAGTTGGAAGTTCTGCGCTCACGAGTTTACCGAGGATGAACTGGTCTTTGGCGCTTGTGAGATGATACAGCATGCTTTGAACATGCCGGGACTGGACCATTGGAGATTGACCCCCGATGAATTGCAAACTTTCCTTCTCGCCTGTCGCGCCGCCTATAACTCCTTCGTGCTTTACCACAACTTCCGCCATGCGATTGATGTGCTGCAATCCGTTTTTTGCTTCCTGCTACACATTGGTGCCTTGCCTCCACATGAATCCATTCGTAAATCCCCTGTCCCTGAAAGTCCCATCACCTCCCTTCTCACGCCATTCGACGCTCTTACCCTCCTTATCTCAGCCATTGGTCATGACGTTGGCCACCCAGGTGTCAACAATTTCTTCCTCGTCAAACTCAACGCACCTCTTGCTCAACTCTACAATGACAATTCCGTCTTGGAGGCGTTCCACTGCGCCGCCTTTTCCCAGATTTTGCGTCGGCACTGGCCTGCGGCATTTAAGGACAAGCAGCTACGAAAGCTCCTTATCAGCTCTATCCTGGCCACCGACATGGGTGTGCACCAGAAGTTCATGCAGCGAATGGGCTCATTCCAAGAAAAATTCCATGAAAACAACCGGTCTATTGATGGCTGGAAGCCACAAGATGTCGACATGTACAAGACTCTTGTTTGTGGATTATTGATCAAATGCGCCGACATCAGTAACGTGGCTCGACCGTGGAAGGTTGCAAAGAAGTGGACACAAATTCTGCAAGAGGAATTCGCCAACCAGGGCGAGATGGAAAGGGAGGTTGGAATGGAAACCGCACTGTTTGGCGGGCCACCCGAATTAGGGAACATCTACAAACTGGCTACTGGTCAAATTGGATTCATGTCGATATTCGCACTGCCGCTCTTTGAAGGCATTTCCGACCTTTTACCGCAGTTGCAGTTCACTACAGACCATATCCTTCGCAATCAGGCACAGTGGCAAGAACTTTCTAATGCGGAGCTGAAGAAGCAAGGTCTTCCGATTGAGAAACGGCCCGAAATCACTGTTTCGCCTCGCTCCCACAGCCCTGCTGAAAAGCAACGCGTTGATTCAGGAGACGGAGCAGCGGATAGAGTCAAATCTCCCATGAGTTCAGACTCTGGTGGATACAACGAAAACAACATTGAACCGGTTGTGTCGCCAGATACTACAGGACCTCAGATTGAGATCACAGGAAGTCCCTTGCCGCCGGCTGAATTTCCATCTCGGAAATCTTCTAGTGCCGTGCCGGAACTTTTCTCCATCCCAGGAGTCCCGGAGTCTGCCCGGGGGTCTATTTCGACACAGCTACATAGCCCTCTCACAGAAACAAGCCCTGTTACCGATGACCCGGCTGTTCTAGCTGCTGTCTTGTATGCCAACTCAGCCTTCGGTGGTGGTACTTCATCAGGATCATCGGGGCGTGACAATGCGTCTGGGGCTGCTGAGAGACCAAGCAGCTCCCGTCAAGGTCTTTCACATGGTTCTCAGCGCGGCTCCCAACGCCATCATGCGCACCACAGCTCGTCTGCTCGCACAGGCTCTAATCGCAATAGTTGCACACGGACGCAAAGCACCTACAGCAACACCATGACACCAATCTCCCCGGCAACTAATGCCTCGAGCTTTTTGGCTGTGGATAGTGGTGACGAAAAGCGAATCTCTGGGGAAAGTGCCCCGCCAAGTGAGCTTGGAGGGCCTGACGACAATAGCACACGTCCCAGCACAGCGGACGCGTATCCTTCAGGTGTATCAGAGCCCGCAGGCGGATATAGTCCCGGCCGTAGCTCTATTGTCGCTCGTGGTCAAACTCGATCTGAAGATGGTGCGAGCAAGGACTTCTCAAGGCTAGGAGCCCACGGAACCCGCAGCACAACCCAGTCGACGACTACTGGTGAGAGCATCAAAAACGAAACTCCGCAAGCGGATGACTCTCATGGTTCCCGTAAACTTCCTAAGCGGAGGAGTCGACTTCGACTTGCGTTTTGGAAGCGTCGCAACCATTCGCACGAGGTCCGCGGTGAGACATGATTCTTGTCGTCCTAGTTGGTGCTTTTAGGCTTGGCTTGAACCATCTCCAGCTGTGTATAATGCTGCCATCGTCTTATGAACCTTTGCAACGAGGCTTGAGACCACACTGGTGTTCCATGAATTCACGACTCGACCAGTCGAAGAAGCCGGACTTTGGATTTTCTTTTCCCACCGCATTGGCTCTCCTGGTCACGACTCTACGAAGTCGATAACGATACCTTCTTACCTTCTGCTGGACGTCTTGAGTTTAACTCAGACACGAAAGCAAATGCAAAGCTTGTCTGGGCAATTACAGCATCAAGACAAGATGAGTTGTATGTTTTATCCTATCCTCCCTCCTCACTTTGAGGCTGAGAGTCACGCTTTATCATGTATTGCTCTCAACGGATACTGATCGGTGTCCCGCTACATCTATCATCTGATTATTTGCATCGGGCTCACCCACCTGCGTTTTTGTGATGACCACGAATATCCGTTTTCTTTTATCCTTACCCTACACCTTCCTTCCTCTCTCTTTTTCGTTCTTCTCCGCCCCTGAGCGATGTTTCGGGGAGGTTCTTTCTTGTCCTAGAGTTTGGTGGTAGGCCGGCGTTCTATCTCTTACAGGAGTGGGTTTTCTTTGACTCGATATTCGAGATCTTGACGGCCTTGGATAGTCTTTCCTCTTTCCCCTGCACTTGATCCTCTTGTGTCTCGTCTTTTTCTCTTCTCTTTTTCTTTTACATGGACTCTTGTTAGACTCTTCCGCTCTGCGCGATAATGAATGTGATGTGTACAGTGAGACTTTGAATCCTTGTTCTCAATGCTTGTAAGAATTGTAATGTGAGTAGCTATGCCCAGTGTTCTAAGCAGTATATGTAATTCCAGCTTTATGCCAGAACCATCTGAAAGATGAATTTTCTACATGAATCAAATGAATGTAGATGCAGATACCAGTAAGAACAAGACCTAATACCTCCTACTACTGACAATCCTCACAACCAGCCTTGTCCTTACTCTCGTCTTTCCTCGACTCCTTCTGCTCAGCCTGCTCCTTCTTCAACGCCCGATCCGTATGTCCCAAATCCCTATTAGGAGCAATAATATTCCGGACGAGTGACTTGAGCGCCTTGACCTCTATGTAGGAAAAGAAATGGTTAGAAAAAAGCACAACTGGATAAGTCTCCCATGCAGTGTATAACGAATGCATAGAAGACTATATAACTAGAATAGATAGTAAAGCAGAAAAGAAGAAGAAGAAGAAGAAGAAGAAGAAGAAGAAGAAGAAGAACAGGAACAAGAACAGGAACATACCAGGGAAGCCCCCATCCCTCTTCCTATCCCACAGAATACTCTCCTGCGTCGTGATCTCCCCGTCATTCATCGTACCGTGCCATATCGTAACTGTGAACACGCCGCCGGTCTTGGGGACGAGGGCGACTTCTCCGAGGTCTGTGCTGAATGTCGAGAGGAGTTCTTGGGCGAACTGTTGATTGCGATTGCGATTGTGTTAGTATTGGTATTTGTATTGGTGGGGTCTGTATATTATGTTTATGTTCATGTTTAGGGTTGTAGTCATGGTGTTGACAGTGACAGTTGATATCGAGTCTGATACATGTAAATGTACATGTGCGTATCAAGCATAAAGAATCCCAACAACAGAACAACCAATCACAAGACAAACCCCAAAGACTTCTAATATGATAGGTCAGAGAGGAAAAAAGGGAAGACAACAACATACGTATGCGGCGCGGAGCATCCACCGGCACTGTGTGCAGAACTGGATTGAGATGCGAGGGAGATGGATGTTCACGGGTGCGATATTGTCGCTAATATCCAGGTTTGAGTCTAGCGGGGTCGATGTCGATTCGGCCATGGTAAATGATGATGGGGGTTTGATGTCGATGCGACAAGTGCGATTGGAGGCGAGGTGCTTGTGTGGTGTGGTGTAGAGTGGGGTGTTTGGGATGACGGGGTAGTGTATAGGTGGATGTATTGGGGAATTTCTGGTTAAATAGGTGGTATGTTGTATGTCCAAGTTAATGTCCAGAGCTACTTAGTGGGATGAATGGGAATTTGGATGATGTCAGCGGGGATGGGCTCCAGGGCTGACTTTGCGTGTGTATCAGTACTTTCTTCCACATATTACATGTACCAGATTGAGATGATGAATCTATATGTATTCAGGATATAGAAGAATACTTGGTAGAGCTACCAGTTGCCAATTTAGGCCGTGCAAGGCCAAAACAACCGAGGGCTGAACCCAACTACCGGGTCACCCCAGCCAAGCAAATCGTAAGACGCCAGCGGTGCCGGAATTTAGGGCCGAGTTACGAAAGGCGCAAATTCGATTAGATCGGTATGGTATTGGTCGTGCGAATATGATACATGAATGG